ATGAGGTGTTCTGAGATATTGTTACCAATACACAGGTTTATAGAGACATTCTAACTATATTTTCAGCAGGTGATGGCGAGATTTAACTATAATGGACGGGCAAAGACTGCCCACAACCAAGAGCAATTTGAGAGGTTTGCAGTCAACTTTTTAAGTTTAGTACAGCAATTGAAGGTTCCAGATATATAGAAAGAAGAGGCTGCCTTTTAAAGTCTCTAACATTACATCATTGACAACAGGTATTTACAAAAAGCACACTTAAGTGTAGAACTGTACAAATGGAAGTGCACATGCCCAAAGAACCAACATCTACAGCAACCAGTGATACAATTATTCAAAATTTTCCATGGACCAACATTAAAACACATTCCCATTGCACTCCCCCAATCATAGGTTGCATCAAATCAGACCTTGAACATACAAATAAGCAATAGATTAATGTTCTAAGGTAGCTAAAGTAACAAGATTGTTCATAGTTCAAAATCCACAGAACTAAACAAAACAAACAAAAAACAAAACAGAAAACAAAAGATGACCTGACAAAGCTTTGAAACAAAATGCTTGCAAATTAACAGGAAAAAAAATCTTATGGAGTTGTACTAGCCACCAAGTTTCCAAGGAGGCAAGAATCTCACATTTATTAAAAAGTAGTAACAACACGCCTACATATTGCATTTTCATCCCCAAAGTGGGACTGATGGTGCTTTGAGTGGTATTTGGTATGACTCACATGCCTTCTACTTTCCCAGATTACTAAGGGATAAATATATTGCTCATGAAAACGAAGGTTCTTCATGTATATTAGCTGGCACACTAAGTGTTTTGGCCACTATGTAAATATAACTTCAGCTGAAGGCCAGCTGTTCCAGGCTTGCACATTTTAACAACGAATTAAAGAATTCCACAAGCTTGAATGTTCTCTTGACATCTTGCACAAGGAACAGACTGCTTATAACTCCGAGCCTTGGCGGAAGGCAGCAGGCCGGCAGCACTCGCTGCCTCTGTGCAATCAGGAAGCCCACCTACGACCACACTGCTCCCACTGCAGCGCCAGTGCTTTATTGGCCTCTCTAGGAACAACCCAGCAGAAACAAGATACCCTGCCCCTCTTCAAATCCTCCTCTACGGATAAATGTAATACATTCTACATTCAATATTAAAAACTTCCTGAAAGATTATTTTAGTGCTTTGCCTTCAAAGTCTATGAAGCATTATTTTCACCTCTACTCGGTACAGCTTTTTCTTCCAAAATATCTTCCACTCTTCCTTGGACAGTATTAGGGACAAATCAACATTAAAAAAGAAGTGTGGGTGGTACATGGAGATTTGAATTCTAAAAAAAGAACCCCAACAACCCTGGAAGAACAAGACAGCCAAAAATGAAACTAAAAATTAAAAACCCTTGAGAATCTCCCTTCTCCAGTTGAATGAGACCATACAAAAGTAAATGGAGTAAAATAAAGGAAACCCTCCTAATTCCGTTAGACATTCCCTTCTCACTTAAGCTTACAAGAAGTTTCAAGTCTTGAGTTGTGTTTTGTTTTGTTTTAAACTAAGCTTCAGAATTTTCACATTTCCATACAGGGTTTTAATGAGACAAAAGACTGATTTTTTTAATAGAGAAGTTAAGCCAATAATCTTAGCAAAATGAATACAAAACTTTCTTAAACCAAGTAAAAGAGTTCTAATTACAGTAGAACAATAAAAAGGGGGTGAAGACTGCCGCCTGCCGAGGGACAACTAAAATGGCTATTGAATAACAGGCAGCCCACGCTGTAGACCATCTCTTCCTTTTCTAGCCCTGCGGCTAGAGTTCATATAAGGTTATGAGGTTTCAGGCTAAAGCCTCTTGTAGTGTGGCAGCTGCTGGATTCTGTCCATGTTCCTGTGAGTATCTTTAGACAGTGGCAAGGAGAGTTCCAACTGGAATATTTCTTCTGCTCTAGTTTGGGATAGTTTGCTAATAAAAGCCATTGATAACATAGGAGATCAGCCATGCATTATCTGCCCCTCAATGGCAACATTATTTCACCGATGCACAGCAGATTGGAGTACGCTGGTCGTCGCCAGAGCAGGAATCTATTGAAGCCAAGGAACAGGGTATCAATATCAGCCCATGCCTACTGAAACTGCATAAAACCTGGACCCACGCACCACCTTCCATAAATACAACTGAACAGACACATCGACTTCAGAAGGATGAAAAGCCAGTACAGAGTTCTAGGTGCCAACAGAATCAATGACACACCTACCTGTAATGCCCATGAAGGGAATGACAGAATGACATGTTCCTTCTGTATTAAAGGTATGGTAAAAAGGCTTCTTGCGAGCAGGGAGAAATAGTATGAAGAATGATGTGAAAAAGCACATGCTAGTCAAAGAGAGAACAGATTAGATGACTCAGGTGAGCTCTTAAAACAGTAATGAAACCTAAAGCAAGAAGCAAGGTGACAAATGCAATGTAAATGTGTGCGTGTGTGCATGTATGTGTGTGTGTACACACACACATATGCATCACTTACAATAATGTTCCCATCACAAACATAGTGTCAAGCAAAGTCTGTGAATTCTGTAATCAAAAGTTTGTGCCAAATTTGATAGTTTTTCAGTTCCAGCTGAGATACTGAAACAAATTAGGAAAACCCTAGATCTAGATGGTTTGACAACGTGAACCTCTGAAGGCTTAAAACAGTCCTAGCTGAAAACAGGAACAATGTCAGTATTGCCTTCTTTCGTGACAAGCTCACATTTCATTCCAAGTGTATCCAACATATAGGCAATCTGCTACCAAGTCATCTACAAAATTACTGAAAATCCTCCAATTGTTCAAATCAGGATGAAAACCATGTGTTTGCTTTGTATGCACGAAATCAATTTTTGCTCCCCTTACAGTATTAAGATGCGCAAGAAGAAACACTTTTTTTCTTTTAAAAGTATGGGCTATGAATGCAAAGGGAATCCTCCTATTTAGAATTGTCCAATAAAACTTAATACTTAGATTACCAAAACATTGCCAATTTCTAGAGAGTAGCTTGCACGTGATTGAGAACAGGAAGAAAAGTGTTTCAAAGTACCCATCCTTACGTAGTTCAAATCCTTGCTGATGCAAGGTCCAACTCTGTACTGCACCAGAGTATTCCAGGAGTCAAAGATATCCTAGTTTAGATTTGTGCATATTTTAAGTGACAAGTAACCTCTTTAGGTTGCTTCGATCTTAGGACCATTCCTTGAATGCACAGTTTGTAGGAACACTAAATCAAATTGCCACAGCATCAACGTTTTGACGTGCAACAAGAGGTTATATTTTATAGATAAGGACTCTGATAGTGGACTGGATCCTTCAGTTTTCCTCTCTAAACACCCACTGTTTTCAAACAGGAACTGTACATAAAAACAGGCATCTCAACCCTTAGCTGTAATTTGTAAAGAGTTTTGGCTATTACCAACCCCAGTTATTCAGCTGCTGATCTTTACATATTCCCTACTCTCATTTCAACTTTCTTCCTGCCAAACTGGAGAGGAGGAAGAAACACCATATGTCTTCTTCACAGGAAAATGCAAGTGAGCATCTATAGTATAGCGTATCTTACAACCAAGGTAATTTGGAACAGAATCCTTCCATGCAGCTAAAATTCTCAACAGCTGAATTATCCAGTTGATCTAGTCCATGTGGATAATAAATTGCAAATATAATTAATAAAGTAAAGGGCTCTGGGAGTCAAGTATACAAAAGCAGTAGTGAGAAGAGAAATAAGAGTGATTCAACATCAACAGGAGAAATTAGCATATTATGAAGCTTTATCAAATGTCCTTTGGGCAGAAAGGCAGAACATAACTCAAACAAATAAAATGAATGGCAGGGAAAGAGAGCACGGCTGTTAGCAAAATCTAAGCATCTTAGGCTGGATAAAAAAGAGCAAAAGAAACAGTTTTGGAAATACATAAAAATGGCAGCACACTACATATTGCCCATACACACTTCATTTTGCTCTGGGGAAGACCTACCGGCTATCAAGACAAAAGGACCAATCAACTGATAAGCTTTAGCTATCACAGATTCATTCATTTCCTACCAACACAAGCATTTAAGTGTCTGCTGTAACAAGTCCAGAGGCACAGTTTCCAGCTTCATTATCAGTTTTGAAAATGTTTTTTTAATCTTGGCTGCTTGTGGGAAAGGGAGAAAAATAAAGAGGCCACATTAATCTTTTATTTATGCTACAAGATAATTCTGCTTAAATTAGGCAGTGAAGCTGTTCCCAGTCTTAGCTTTCACTGCAACTGAAGCCCTGTCCCCTTTTATGTCCACGTGATGCATATTAAAAAGGGGACAGGGCTTCAATTGCATGGTAACATCCACCATCTTTTTTGACTCCCCCAGATATTCCTGTACATTGGAATAAATTTAATTAAATGAATATAGTTTCTAATCATTATCAGCAGTCACAATCTGTAAGTTGGGCAGCCACATGAATTGATTAAATAAATATTAAAAAATGTGCACAGCAAATATGTAGTAATATTTTGATGCAATTAACAAAACTTTCAGGCTCTCTTCAAGGTGTCTTGTTTTTCCAAATGGGCTACTCAATTTGCATACTTGCGAAAAAGCAGATTCACTGGAGTGATCCCTATGGAGTTATCCCAAATTCTAGGTTATCCTATGCTTTAGTAGTAATATAAATCCCTTGGTTTCACTTGCAAATATTCTAATCAAACCATTCTAGTGAAATACTAAAGCTTTTGGGGAAAAGCGAACTAGTGAAACACTAAAAGGTTTGGGGGAAAAGCACATCTAATGTTACATCATCTGCAAGGCAGAGGGAAATAAAGTGCAGAATTAACATGAAAAGCCACCCCCTTTGAATGCCCCAAAGGAGTTCATCCAAACCCACCCACCAAGCTGGAGTCTAGCGAGAAGGGACTCACCCAGTGCTGCTTTCCAACGAGGAGACGAGCAGCTACTTGCCATGGTGTTCGAAGGGAATGCTATTCTGAGGTGGGGGGAAAAGACAGCCATTTGAAACAATTCCACTGCCCAAAAGTTAATTTCAAGCTAAGATTCTAGATGGAGCTGCTCTTTATTTGGAACAGTGCTCCTTTCAGAAGCCTCAGAGACATTGGCCTTCACAGGTTAGAAGCTCTCACCAAACTGATAAACATAGGGGTTGGCGTTATAGAATGTGTTTTGAGAACTGATGTATGAAGAAAGACTGCTTTGAGCAGCAGGAACCATCAACAGGAGTTTGGAAGTGCTTTTGTGTTCCAATGACTCCTAGTTCAAAAGGATCATTAGGTTAATGGTTTATTGCCTGTGCTGGCCATTGATTCAAAAAAACATTTTCCTTTATCACAGTGAGAAGTTTAACCCCTGGGTAATTCAAGAAAACCTGCATCACTCATTAGTACTCAATTAGGTACAAGCTCAATCTAGAGCCTTCAGCCTAGGATCTACAGATACAAACGCAGGCTTTCAGATCAATGTGTTCACTAGAACAGAAGTCCATTTATTGCTCTCAACTGGCCAAGACAGCACAAAAGACAAAACCTAAATAATCTTGTAAACTTACTATAAAAGATTAATCACATTTCTGTGTAGAAGATAGTTATATTTTTTTCTCACTGTTTCTTTTCCTTTGTGTACATTTCAGCAAGCAATTACAAGTGCACACACAAACCAACATTTCTTCCTAGCAGGTGAAGTTTAGTTAGACAAAACCATCCTCGTCTCATAAAGATGTCCAACTTTTCTACTGCTACACCTATATGATATGTTTAAGAATATAAAATCTCACCTATAAAGCAGGAAACACTAAGTTAAAATCATATAAAAGATAGCTGCTATGGCATTCCGTCCATCAAGAAACAAAAAGACAAGCTTGTGTTTTTTGCTAGAAAAAAGATTGATTACCATATCCCTATTTTGCCTGAGGACTAAACTGAAAAACTAACATTTGCCACCAGCTAGAAGTCGCTGTACTATTCAGAAGACAATAAGAATACTCATCCACCAGCAATCACATTTTCCCAATTAGTTTTGTCAACGCAGTCCCTATGTTTTTGCCAGGCTAACAAAAACATTTCTTAGAGAACCAATGTTTGAAGCATGTCACTGAGAAAGAGTCTGAAATTATCATGGAAGAGGATCATAATATAGGACATCAAACACATCAGCTAAATATAGGCCAACTTTTACAGGAAAAAGGGTAAAATGAACTGCTTGTTGTAGACTTTCAAATAAGTAACACTGTAAATATTGAACTCGATAAATGTTGAAAGTATTTAAGAAAAAACAATGCTGAGGCTATGGGATCAGGTCTTCTCTGTGACTCTTCCAGCCTTGAGGGGGAGATCAGAATAAAGCTGCTCACGCAGATGAACCTCATGTCATGACAATGCTGCGTGCCTGTGGCTCCTGCACAATCAATCTTTCTTGCCAGCAATTATCAGTATTTTCCAACACTGGATATTTTGAGACTAAAACTTCAATTATCCAGGTAACTGACCCATTTCTCAATGAAGTAATAAATGTGTATTCAGGCTTCTTCAGGCTCACATGATTAATATCTCTCCCCCTTACAAAAACCCAAACCCACATCCTCCAGATAGAATAGCCCTACTTGTGCTCTCTCCATACATTACTAGAGATTTTGTGAAAGGTTGTATGACTCCTGATAGCTGTCTCCCTGTGAAGACTAAACAGGTGTGTATTATCAAGGCTTTGTGTAAAGATATTGCAAAGCATTCCAGTTATCTCCTGCAAAACTCTGCTTTTAGAAATGACTCCTTCACCTGTCCCTGCCTCTGATCCATTTGAATACCATCCATCAGTATGATTTCAACAAGAGTAAGGGCTCTTTAATGCAGTTTGTTTCTATCCTGACTCTGATTCTATCCACTACTAAGGAACAAGGTAGTCTATGCTGCTGCAAACAGAGAACTATTAAATAAACTCTGGCTGGACTACAATACTCATAAAATCTTTGTTTATCTCTTACATGCCACCATGTAGGTGTAGAAGCACTTTCATCTGGCCCACAATCAACTGCTATTCATACTGCATGCATGTTTCAGCAGAGGCCAAAATAAAAATCTGGCTAGGGTGCAGAACCTAGAAATGTTAGTAGCTTTATTTTGTACTTCACAATAAAATTCAAACATTGAAGAAGGAAAATGTCCCTTTTAAATCCATGTCTCTGCTGTGTGTTAACTCTTCTTTCTTCATCATCTTCTGCTTTTTGCCTCATTTGCTCTTCTTCCTGCACTTCTTTCTTTGCAGCAACTTCAAATTCTCAGCTCCCCGCAGGCTCCACTCACACCCCATCCCCTGGTGTACCTGCTAGAGTGGTCACCAAGGAAATAGTTAATGTTGACTATAAGGAGTCATAACTGGGATTGAATCTGACAGAATGATTAACCAGGGTGCTAATGTAAGAATTCACACAATTTAATAACAATGAATCCTTAAAACTCAGAAGAGGCTAAGATTTCCATGCAGAGATGCAAGCAACATGACCATAAACAACATCAATACAGCAAGCGGGCTGTATTTTATCTTCAGCAAGGACCATCATCTCTGAAAGCATGCTCTAAGAGGGAATCTAAGAATGAGAAGTTAATGTGTGCTTTAGAATTATTTGGCCAAATCTTTAAAGTATGTGAATGAGAACTTTAATTCTGCTATCGCAATTTAGAAAGAGAATCCATACTTTTGAAGCATTCGATTCTACCCCAGTCCCAGCTGTTTTGTTCCTGGTCCTTTGCCTCTTATTGACCTTAATGCTGATCTTCCTCCCTTGCTGACCACTATGATGCAGCTCTATGCTACAGGCACCCTGCCAGGAAAGACAGCACTGAAGCACGGCTAATACCATCTGTGGCAACCCTAGACTACTGCCTCCATCTAGCATCCTAGTGAACAATACAACTGGTGGCTCCACTCACGCAAAGAGAGTTCCATTTTTTAAATTTGATTCCCCCCCCTCAAAATTTGGATCCCAGCTTAACTTGATACCCTGAGTGACTGTCTAGTTCACCTATTTGGAGCAGTCGACCCTGACAGTAACTTTTCCTTCTCCATAGCAAAACCAGGCAAAAGGAATGGTGGGCTGACAGAATTTGGAAAGTCAAATGGCAAACTGCAAGAACTTAGTTAACTTTCAGATAAGGCAACTGTTTCCCGCAAGTCTAAAAGCCCAGATGGAAGACTATTTTACTCTAGGCCTTACTACTATGACATAACATGTTAAGGTTATAAAACATATTTAAAAACCACATAACCACAATTTAAAGTTGGCTTGTTTGAAATAGACTATAGAATCAAATTGTGCCAGATGTCAAACTGCAGTTAGTTAATTCTTAAAGGAAATACTTCCAAAGTTTACTTTCTAGCCATTCATAAGGGAAGAAGACATGGGCTAGTTAACATGAAAGCCTGTGCATGTTGTGCTAAATCACAGTTTAGCACTGGAAAGGGGAAATCTATCCAGTCTGCAATAGCCCTCTTCTTCCTTGTTGTCTCTTTGTTCTGTGCATCCTGGGGGCCAAAGAAACAGGAAGGGGAGGGGGCCTTCAGCCAATGATGTCATGCAGCCCTTGGAAAGTGACCACAGGACTCTCTGTCCATCCACCAGATAAAAATGGCAGATTATAGTTTTGTAAGAATGCTAAAGCTGTTTTCAAAGAGAAACCTTTCAGAACATTTATTATAAAACTTACTCTAATTGGTTTTCACTGGGGAAAAAAAGAATATTGGACCTTTCACAGTCACCTAAGAAAGGAATTTCAATTGCATCAGAGTGAGAATTCAAACTGCATTAGACTATGAAATTTAGAGAAAAATCAATATCACCTAATACAAATCTAGAGACTGAGTTATTTTTAATTGATTTTAGCACCTGTAGGGTTATTGGATGTGGGCTGCAAAAATCCAGATGACTATTAGATAGAGGTCTATTTCTGCTGCCATCCAGTGGCTGTCTGGAGTTTTGCAGCCCAGATCTATGTAACTGGACCCTAATCTACTTCTGAAACACAGTGAATTTTTGGTATTCTTTGGAACCAGTAAAACAAGGAGAGGCAAGAACAGCCCATGGAGTTACAGAAGGTTTGGTCTCCTAGAAATTCTAAGCTCCTAACCCTTTTAACACAATATTTAACTACTTAGTATTCTCAAGCTTTAACTAGCCAGATTTGTCTTTTACAAAAATATTCCAGTTTGGCCACCTAAAAGATTTTTGAAAGAGACACTCTCTCAGAATTCTAAACACAGTTAGATGAAAATTAAAAAAAACAAAAAACACTGCATTATTCACAACCTAAAGCAATTTAAAATGATTTAAATTATCACGCCCATCAACAAATTTACTTCAACTAGTTATCTTTCTTTTAATCAATTAAGCCACCATTTTAAAAAGTAGTCTAATTTATACTACATTTGTGTGTTAGTTGCACTATTATTTCATTCATGACACTGAAGGGGGGCAGTGTTTTTAACTAGAAAAATAACACACAAAACTGTGCGAAGATGGGAAATTCAGCTTTCGTGCATATGAAGAATACTTTCTTTGGAATACAGCTATCACCATCTGGGGGTTCAGGCTGATAATTATCTCTTCATCTGCATAAAATCATGTCAGATTCCAAAATCTTTGGCAACCAGTACCTAATCATTCACAACACTTTTTAACCATTACTGATATGCAGTCCTTGGCAGCTTTTCTGTTCCATATCACATTTTAGTTAGTCATTAACAAACTGAACAGTAATTTAAGAAGAATTTGCTACTGATTTCTCCCAAGTGTGCAAGACAAACATTAACCATATACCAAGAGAAGGAGATACTGGGGTAGGGCAAGATGGGCTTGAAATTTAATGCCTTTCAAATTCAGTATCAAAACCAAAGAAACATTTACACATATTTTACATAATATAACTTGCTGGACTTCAGTGATTTTGATGTAAAGGAAAGCAAATAATTACATCTCAAGAGTCCAAAAGTGCTTTATTTCAGGTAACTTAAGAGGTTAAAATGCGCACTTTCTTCCTCTTCCTTCGAGGTCTGCAGGAGCTTGGCTTTACAGATGGAAGGATAAAAGAAAGAGTCTCAAAACCTCACACGGTTTCATTTCTTCAAAATTAGCAAGTCTCCCACAGGATATACTTACTCAAGCCCTAGAGAGAAGTATCTTTCTCAGCATGTAAAGCAATGCCATTGTATTAAGAGCCAAGGACAGCACCATTTTATTTACTGAAACTTTGGGCAACGCATAATGAAGTATTTTTCTGAAATATCTGCTCACCAAAAACACTGGAAACAAGTAATCCAGAAATTAATTCAGCAGACCACCATCTGCTCCAATGCAATGAAGCAGAGTTTTCAAGAAATATAATAGTATAGTGTAATAAAGTAGTTATAATTACTGTAATAAATAATTTCTTTATTGATATGTTAGAGACTTTGGACCTGCACAAAGTAGTCATGTTATTTAAGTATTTGATTGCAAAAGCTTGTATTAGGTAACAAAAGCTATATGCTCATGGAGCTGAAACTTTTAAATTATATATTCCTTTAAACATTATTCTCTGATCAGAGGTAATTTAGTATTGCTTTAAAAGACTGCTGCTTCAAATATCCTTTTGGTATAAATTCAGATTACATACCTTTCATCTATACAAGCGTGCTATCAACAATCAAGATTTTTTTAAATCTGGGTCTTAATGAGCAATGCTATGAACATTTACTAAATGCGATTCTGTCTGAATTCCTAATAAGCACCTCCTTTTTTTCTTCTCTAACAGCCACTAATACAGTGTAAGTAGAGCTACCCATATCCAAGATGAAACAATTACTGGAGGGCAGAAAGTGAATTCTAATTCTTTGCTGCTATCTAATGGTCTTCTGAATTTTTGCAGCCCAGGCATGGCAGATGAACCGTGCAGTTTAACTGTAATCACTTATGCTTTTATATACTAAATTTATATTCACCCCTAATTACTTCTTTGGGTGAGTTTTCCACTTCTTAATGACAAAACTTTGATCCTCTCTATTGACCTCTGGTGCTGAAATCATTTTTTATAATTAAAACATCTACATCACCATCCTATTCACCTGTAGAAACTTTTGCTACTTAACTACTTCCTCATCTGACATGGAATCACAGCCTAATTTACCAAGGCTCTGAAACTACCTTTATAATTTGGATCTTTGAACATAATCCCCCATCAGCATCTACATTCAAATTTATTGTTTCTAAATTCTTAGCTTTTAAAAAAGACACTTGAATACATATACAGAATCCTGAGACCCATATTTCATTGCTGAACACTTTACAAATCAAAATCCAATTTTGTAACACATTATATATGAATCTGATGTGATTGCATGCCACATATACATTGTGAAATGAAACAAACTTACAATTAATGTTATTCAACAGTTTGATAAGTATTTGTCTTTTGTTTAGAAATATACAAAAAAGCAGGTAAATGGCATTAACATTATCCTATTTTGTAAGATGCAAAAAATGCATTTTTCTTCTAGAATATGCTGGCCTTCATACATTGGAAATCTTTATTCATAGCCAGTTATACAATGTGTTGAAACTTGACATAGATATATTTTGAACATCTGACATACATTTCAAAAAATGATGTATGCTTTATGGGAAAAATTGCAAGCCATGCTTAATGGTCCCAAAGTCAAGGTGCTTGATTACTGCAGACATATTCAGATTTTACTACTACTCTAATTTAGCTATGTATTTCTTACAAGAGTGCATGCCCACAGCTAATCTGAAAAAGCACTTCTGCTTTTCAAATCAAATAGGATTTTTAAAAGTGCTAAGAAAGAAAATCAAAGATGCATGAACAGCACCTAACAAATTATTATAAAAGTATACAAAGGAACCACGAGAGACTCTTTCCTATTTTCATCTCTTATTAGTCACAGTACTTTCAGACCTTTAGTATTCTTAAGTAAACTCCTCTCACAATAGATATTATTACAGACAACTGATTATACCAGACAGAAGCTGGTAACTATTTCTCATTAAGTGGCCATTTATTTGGAAATACAACCACAAATTATGTCAAGATCTCAGAGTTGTTGGCTGTTGGGTTTGTTTTTAGAGGGGGGTCACTAAGCACTACTAAACAAAATGCTAAGTGACTAGCTACAGATGAAGTTGTCCATCTCTGATACTGGACAAACTGTATTTGTCCAAGGTTAAAGGAAGAGTGCTTATTGATCCTTCTTCATAAAATGTAACAAATACTAATATTCATTCATTTGCACAAGGCTTCCGAGATCTGCAGTGGTTAAGGAAAAACATGACCTTTAAGTCAGTTGACGATTCATAGAGTATAGCAAAAGTCACTGAAATTTCCATGGCTGTTAAAAGTCTGTACCCTGCAAATACACAAAGATCCAAAAAGGTATTAAGCATGGGAGGTGTCCAGTTATAAATTTCCATAGTCTGTTAGTCCCTCTCCTTCACATTAAAGCTTCAAGATCAGGGGCCTTCACAAATAGCTATTCTTCAGCTGATTCAGATTAAGTAAGAGATCAACATGTTTAAAACATAACAACTGTGAGGAAAGCCTTTCAATTCAGAGCCCAGAGCATTTCTAAACTGAAAACAAATGCCAAAGAAAACTATATACTTCTATCTCTTTTCCCATAAAATGAATAGTTTTGTACCTGTGAGGTTGACATGCGTGAGGTATCTTGTCGACCTGTTAAATCAGACGAGGAGATATTCACAGGGGCCCCACGATGCAATCGCATACTCACTTTCCGTTCTCGCTCCATTCCAGAAACTGGCCGAGGAGATGTATTTGCTGATCAAAAAAAAAAAAAAGGAGCTATCATTATCAGGGGTTGTATATACAATATAATTACTGGTTATGAATTATTCCTGAATTCTATAGACTTTCTTGATGGAGCCAGTATATAAGCCAGGGTGGCAAGTGTTGGACTGGTACCATGGAGACCCCGGTTCTAATCTAACCAAAGCCATGAAAGTTCACTGGGTAATTCTGGGCCAGTTGCTCACTCTAAACCCAATCTACCTTACAGGATTGTTGGAAAAATTGGAGGAGGAATATGTTACATATTCCAACAGAAGAGAACATCTGTAGCTCAGGGTTGAACTGTGGAATCCATGGTGCTCTTAGAGCTTGGCTGTTTGCTTGCAGACGTTTCATTACCCAACTAGGCAACATCATCAGTGCAAGGTCACACTGATGATGTTACCTAGTTGGGTAATGAAACGTCTGCAAGCAAACAGCCTAGCTCAAGGAGCTCCAGAGACTCCACAGTGTTACATATGTCGCCTTGAACTCCTGAAGGAAAGGTGGGATGTAAATCTTATAAATAGATAAATACAGTACTGTGCAAAAGTTTTAGGCAGGTGTGAAAAAATGCTGTAAAGTAAGAA